TTAAGCTATCATCATTTGATTATTTGTAATATCCTAACTTCTACTCTTGCCACCTATGGATTATTTTTCACAGACCACCCAGAATAATTTTAGAAGTCAGATCCTGTCACTCCTTGCTCAACACCCTCCAATGTCTTCCTACCTCTTCCATAGGCCCTGTAGGATCCACCTGCTACTCAGGCGTGACCTCCAACTTCATCTATTCTCTTTCCATCTCTTACTTCACTCCAGCCACATGGACTTCCCTGAACATCCTCAAACAAAACAAGCGTGCTGCTGTCTCATGGCATTCGTATTTGCTACAATCTGAACCTGGCATCTCCTTTCCTCAGACATTCGAATAGCATGCTCTCTTATCTCCTTCAAGTCTTTAACTCAAGCATTATCTAAGTAGCTTTTGTGGTCACCCTATATTAAACTGTCTTTGTGAACCATGGAAAATTCCTTATGTGCCTTCCCTGCTTTGTTTTTCTCCACAGTGCTGATCACCATTAACACACAATATGTTTTTTTATTAGTGCTTTCTCCTCACAAGACAATGGAAGTTCCATGAGGGTAGGGCTTTCTGACTGTTTTTGTACCAGTTTTGTAAGCCCACAGGTTAGAACAGTACTAGAATAGTGTGAGTGCTAATAAAATTTCGTTCAATGAATGAATGAAGAATCACTGACCCCTAACAGTCATTTACCAGTATCACATTTGAGAAATATGTTAGAATAACAATCTGCTATAAACAGTTTCTAAATACTTATATTACTTAAGTCCTCAAGATAGAAATATGGGAGAAAAGTCCAGAAAACAATAACTGCACTTTTATTTTCTGATCATTAAATATTTCTTGAGACTAAATTGAAAACAAGTGTTTAATGTCTAAAAGTGACACATCTTATAAATGTAAGATGTAGCACCCCAAAGTATTCAAACCTCAACCCAGACCTAATAAGTCATGAACTATGGGCATGGGGCTCAGCAATCTTAAGTTTTAATTGCCCTCCAGGTTAATTCTGAGGCATGTTATAAGTTTTGTTTTGCTTTTCAGATGGGGTCTTGCTCTATCACCTAGGCTGGAGTACAGTGGCACAGTTATGACTTTACTGTAGCCTTGACCTCCCAGGCTCAAGTGATAGTCCAACCTCATCTCCAGAGTAGCTTAGACTACAAAAGCACATGCCACCACAACCGGCGATTTTTTGTTTTGTATGTAGAGACAGAGTTTTCCTACATTGCCCAGGGGGGTCTCACTATGTTGCCCAGGCTGGTCTCAAACTCCTGGACTCAAGCAATCTTCCCACCATGCTAGGATTACAGGTATAAGCCACCACACCCGGCCACACTGAAGTGTTAGGGAAAACCCAGCACGCTGACCCCACCAATGCTGTTAAAAGCCTATTCCTACCTCTGATGAAGCAGCTGATCCAAACGATGTTAAGGGCTTATTCCATGCACTGACTGAAGGTGGCTGTGGTGGACTAATGGGATCTACTGGAAAGAAGAAGCCATAGGAAACACGATTAAGATTTAAAGTCTAATAATCTCTAACTCATTTAACCCTTTCCTTAATCTCCTATTGTTTGGCTATTACTAGCCAGCCAATAAAACAATCACTTTTCAAATCACACTTACAAAGATTATGTATCAACATACAGGCATACCTCAGAAACATTGTGGGTTCAGTTCCACACCACTACAATAAAGCAAGTACTGCAATAAAACAAGTCACACTAATTTTCTGGTTTCCTAGTGCATATCAAAAGTTCTGTTTCCATTATACTACAGTCTAACATGTAATAGCATCATGTCTTTAAAAAGGTACATACCTTAATTAAAAAAAAAAAAAAGCTACCACTAAAAAAGAAGCTAATCATCATGTTAGTCTTTGAATCGTAATTTTTTTGCTGGTGGAGTCCTGCCAGTGGAGATGTCGATGGCTGCTAACTAACCAGGATGGTGTTTGCTGAAAGCTAGCATGGCTGTGGCAATTACTTAAAATAAGACAACAATGAAGTTTGTAACATTGACTATTCTTTTCATGAATGACTTCTCTGTAGTATGTGATACTGTTTACCCATACGGTAGAAGTTCTTTCAAAACTGGAGTCAATAGTCTCAAATCCCATTGCTGTTTAATCAACTAAGTTTATGTAATATTCTAGATCCTTTGCTGTCATTTCGACAAAGCTCACAGCATCTTTACCAGGAGATTTCATCACAAGAAACAACTTTCTTTGTGTCAGAGTTATTTCCTCCACTGATGTCTTGAATTCCTCCAAGTCATCCGTGAGAGTTACAATCAATTTCTTCCAAACTCCTATTAATGTTGATATTGTGAAATCCTTCCACGAATCACTAATGTTCTGGCGCGAGGATGCGGAATCCTTCAATCCTTTCCACATGGTTTTCAAATTTCTTTGCCCAGCTCTATCAGAGAATCACTGTCTATGGAGCTGTAGCCTTAGAAAATGTATTTCTTAAGTAACAAGACTTGAAAGTCTAAATGCTCCTTGATCCATGGGCTGCAAAATGGATGCCATGTTGGAAGCATGAAAACAACATAAATCTCCTGTATTACCTTCATCACAATTCTAGGGTGTCCAGATGCCTTGTCAACAAGCTTGTATTTTGAAGGAAAGCTTTTGAGCATTTTCCCCCCTGAGCAGTAGATCTCAACATGGGCTTAAAAATAATAGGTATGGCTGGGCATGGTGGCTCATACTGTAATTCCCAGCACTCACGTGGGAAGGCCCGCCGGGAACTTCACTGAAGTCAGCTGCGGTTTCGAGACCCCAACAACCTGGCCCAACATGGCAAACAACCTTGTCTCTAGCGAGAGAGATACAAAATTAGCCCAGGCAGGGGGACCGCGTGTGCCTGTAGTCCAGAACTCAGGCAGGCTCGACGGCAGGCCACTGCACTTGACACCGGAGGCGGAGGTGCAGTGAGCCAAAGGAATCGCCGCACTGGCAACTGTACTCCAGCCTAGTGATCCAAGAGTGGAAACTCCTGTCTCAACAAAAAACTCCTCAAAAAAAACAAAAAAAAATTAGGTAGTCAATTTGTAAACAGAAGTGGAACTGTCTCTAGCCTTTGTTGTTACATTTCTAGAATACAGGCAGAGTAGATTTAGTATAATTTTTAAGGGCTCTAGGATTTCAAACATGGTAAATGAGCACTGGCTTCAGCTGCAAGTCACCAGATAAATTAGCCCTTAACAAGAGAGTCAGCCTGTCCTTTTAAACTAGGCACTGACTTCTCCTCTCTAGTCATGAAAGGCCTAGATGGCATCTTCTTCCAATAGAATGCTGTTTCGTCTACATTAAAAATTTATTATTTAATGTAGCCCCCTTCATCAATTATCTCAGTTTTGGATCTTCTGGATAACTTGCTGCTTTACCTTGCACTTTAATGTGATAGAGGTGGCTGCTTTCCTTAAACTTCCTGAATCAACCTCTGCTAGGTTCAAACTTTTCTTTGGCAGCTTCCTCACCTCTCTCAGGCATCACAGAATTGAACAGAGATGGGGGTCTTGCTTCGGATTAGGCTTTGGGTTAAGGGAATTGTGTGGCTGGACTGACCTGCTACCCAGACCACTAAAACTCTGTATCAGCAATAAGACTGTTTTACTTTCTTATCATTAGTATTGATTACTGAAGTAGCACTTAACTTTTGACCTATCTTGGCTTTCACCATGCCTTCTTCACTGAGCTTAATCATTTCCAGCTTTTGATTTAAAGTCAGACGTACATGACTCTTCCATCCACTTGAACACTTAGAAGCCACTAGAGGGTTATTAATTGGCCTGATTTCAATACTGTTGTGTTCTTAAAGAATGGGGAGGTCCAGGAGAGGTAGAGACCAGGGTACAGCTGGTCAATGGAGTGGTCAGAACACACAAAACACTTATCAATTAAGTTCACCATCTTATTTGGGTGTTCACGGTACCCTGAAACAATTACAGTATCAAAGATAACCGACCACCATAACAGATAAATGATGAAAAATTTGACACATTCCAAGAATGACCAAAATGTGACACAGAACATGAAATGAGCACATGCTGTTGGAAAAATGACACCAGAAGACTTGCTTGACACAGTTACCATGAACTTTTAATTTTTAAAAATGCAGTGTCCACAAAGTGTAATCAAATGAGGTATGCATGTACAAGTCTCCCCCAAACATTGCCTATTATTTTCTCATCCACACAAAATTATTTCCATAAAATATAATATGCTTGTTAAACATGCTTAATGCTTAAAACAAAAATTTTAAGAAAGTTAAGAGAGGATTACTATTACTTTTTCCTACAATAAAAAAATGAGATGGCTAGAAAACACTTAATGAGTACATAAATAAAATTGAACAGAAACCTCAGTATTCCCATGCCATTCCCCACCCCTCACTTCTCTTTTGTAACTTACATTTCTTAGAGATATCATTCAGCACAGCTGGTGGGGCCACCTTGTTATCCCATAATTCAGCTGTCAGAGTGCCATGTGACTGTGGGGTCTGGATGGATTTTCCTGAGGCTACGTAATCTGTGCCATTAGGTGTTTGAGCTGAAGGCAGCCTAATTGATGGTGGCGGCTGTTTTGAAGACTGTGATGGAGTCTGTAGCGGATTCTGGACTGGTTTGTGGGTCTGTGTCTGAGTCTGGGCTGGAGCAGGCGGGGCGGAAGTTGGGGCTGAGACTGGGGTGGTGGCTGGGGCTGGGGCTGAGGCAGGGGCAAGTGGGACTGAGGCAGTTGGGGCTGAGGCTGGGATAGTTGGTGCTGCGATGACTGGGGCAGCTGGGGAAGAGGCTGCTGGGGCTGGTGTTGGAGCTGAAGTTGTTGCTAGGGCCGAAGCAAGAATGGGAATTGAGGCTGAGGCAAGAATGGGGACAGAAGCTGGAGTTGAAACTGAGGCAAGGATGGGGGTTGGAGCTGGGGCTGAGGCTGGAGCTGAAGAAGAGGTTATAGCTACAGCTGAAGTAGAGGCTGGAACTGAAGCTGAGACTGAGGCTGAGGCTGAAACTGGAGCTAAGGGTGAGGCTGGAACTGGAGCTGAGGTTGAGGCCAGAACTGGAACTAAAGTTGAGGCCGGAACTGGAGCTGAGGTTGAGGCTAGAACTGGAGTTAAGTTTGCTGGAACTGCAGCTGAGGTTGAGGCTGGAACTGAGGCTGAGGTTGAAGGTGGAAGTGGAGCCGAAACTAGAGGTGGAACTGAGGCTGAAGACTGTGCTTGCTGGATTCCTGTAGCCTGTTTTTTGGCAAATCTTGGAGGAAGCTTAGAAGTCTGGCTTCTTCCTTTTTCATTTGCATTCTTTTTGTTCCAGACCTTAAAAAATTAACAGGGATAATTTTTGTCAAAAATGCAGCTGAAAGCAACAGTTCATAAATGCAACTTTTAACAAAACTAACTCCCACTAACTTGGCTGCTTTACTTTGCAAAATAGGTACTCAAACTACAAAATGTCAGGGTTGCTAATAAGATTTTAAATGATGAGAAGCCAAGATGATATTGAGACAAAAGACAAATAGGTATTGTACATTCTCGACATACCAGTACACAATTCTGAAATTCAAGAACTAAGAAAGTTTGCAGTAAATTCATTTGGCAACAAACCTTAACTAAGCTAACAAAATGCGACTTACAGTCTTAACTCATATAGTTGCCACAGACATTAATTTGGGCAGTGTGGCTGGTATGTTATGATACAGGGGAGATGCACTACTATTTTACCTTCCTAAATAAATGACTTCTGAAAATTTGGTTCCAAAGGTTATACGCAATTAAACGAATAATTTATCTTGATTCACACTGTGTATTTAAATGAACTAATATAGATTACAACAGATACTTTTGTAGGCCAGGAATCCAAAATCTACTGGTTCGTGACATTTGTGTTCATTAGCTTTCCAAGATAATTTAAAATCAACTCAACTTTGCCTTGGGGCAAATAAGGTATCCCTAGTATACAGTATGTTGTTAAAGTAAAGATGGTCTTGAGGAAGTAGCAGTTGCCATTCCAAGATGGTCAAATAGGAAAGGCTCCGGTCTTCAGCTCGCAGTGTGATCAACGCAGAAGATGGGTGATTTCTGCATTTCCAACTGAGATACCTGGTTCATCTCACTGGGACTGGTTGGACAGTGGGTGCAGTTCAAGGAGGGTAAGCCAAAGCAGGGTGGGACATCACCTCACCCGGGAAGCACAAGGGGTCGGGGGATTTCCCCCTCCTAGTCAAGGGAAGCCATGACAGACTGTACTTGGAAAATCGGGACTCCCGCCCTAATACTGCACTTTCCCAATGGTCTTAGAAAACGGCAAATCAGGAGATTATATCCCGACCCACGAAGCCTTGCTCACTGCTAGGGCAGCAGTCTAAGATCAAAGTGCGAGGTGGTAGCTTGGCTGGGGGAGGGGTGTCCGCCATTGCTGAGGTTTCAGTAGGTAAACAAAGCGGCTGGGAAGCTCGAACTGGGGGAAGCCCATCCGCATTTCAACCAGGTCTGCCTGCCTCTGTAGACTCCACCTCTGGGGGTAGGGCATAGCTGAATAAAAGGCAGCAGAAACTTCTGCAAACTTAAATGTCCCTGTCTGACTGCTCTGGAGAGAGCAGTGGTTCTCCCAGCATGGTGTTTCAGCTCTGACAACAGACAGACTGCCTCCTCAAGTGGGTCCCTGACCCCCGTGTAGCCTAACTGGGAGACACCTCCCAGTAGGGGCTAACACCTCACATAGCCAGGTGCCCCTGAGACAAAGTTTCCAGAGGAAGGATTAGGCAGCAATATTTGCTGTCCTGCAGTATTTGCTATTCTGCAGCCTCCGCTGGTGATACCCAGGCAAACAGGGTCTGGAGTGGACCTCCACCAAACTCCAACAGACCTGTAGCTGAGGGACCTGGCTGTTGCAAGGAAAAGTAACAAACAGAAAGGAACGGCATCAACATCAACAAAAAGGACATCCACACCAAAACCCCATCTGTAGGTCACCATCATCAAAGATGAAAGGTAGATAAAACCACAAAGATGGTGAGAAACCAGAGCAGAAAAGCTGAAAATTCTAAAAAGCAGAGCGCCTCTTCTGCAAAGGATCACAGCTCCTTGCCAGCAATGGAACAAAGCTGGATGGAGAATGACTTTGACGAATTGACAGAAGTGGGCTTCAGAAGGTTGGTAATAACAAACTTCTTTGGGCTAACGTAGGATGTTCAAACCCATTGCAAGGAAGCTAAAACCCTTGAAAAAAGATTAGATGAAAGGCTAACTACAATAAACAGCGTAGAGAAGAACTTAAATGACCTGATGGAGCTGAAACCATAGCACGCGAACTACGTGACACGTGCCCAAGCTTCAGTAGCTGATTTGACTGAGTGGAAGAAAGGGTATCAGTGACTGAAGATCAAATTAAAGAAATGAAGTGAGAAGAAAAGTTTAGAGAAAAAAAGAGTGAAAAGAAACAAAGTCTCCAAGAAATATGGGACTATGTGAAAGACCAAATCTACGTTTGACTGGTGTACCTGAAAGTGATGGGGAAAATGGAACCAAGTTGGAAAACATTTTAGGATATTATACAGGAGAAGTTCCCCAACCTAGCAAGGCAGGCCAACATTCAAATTCAGGAAATACAGAGAACACCACGAAGATACTCCTCGAGAAGAGCAACCCCAAGACACATAATAGTCAGATTCACCAAGGTTGAAATGAATGAGAAAAATGTTAAGGGCAGCCAGAGAGAAAGGATGGGTTACTCTCAAAGGGAAGCCCATCAGACTAATAGCAGATCTCTCCACAGAAACTCTACAAACCAGAAGAGCAGGAGCCAATATTCAACATTCTTAAAGAAAAGAATTTTCAACCCAGAATTTCATATCCAGCCAAACTAAGCTTCATAAGTGAAGAAGAAATAAAATCCTTTACAGACAAGCAAAAGTTGAGAGACTTTGTCACAATCAGGCCTGCCTTACAAGAGCTCCTGAAGGAAGCACTAAATATGGAAAGGAACAAGTGGTACCAGCCACTGCAAAATCATGCCAAATTGTAAAGACCATCGATGCTAGGAAGAAACTCCATCAATTAATGGGCGAAACAACCAGCTAACATCATAATGACAGGATCAAATTCACACATAACAACATTAACCTTAAATGTAAATGGGCTAAATGCCCCAATTAAAAGACACGGACTGGCAAACTGGCTAAAGAGTCAAGACCCATCAGTGCGCTGTATTCAGGAGACCTATCTCACGTGCAGAGACACACATAGGCTAAAAATAAAGGGATGGAGGATGATCTACCAAGCAAATGGAGAACAAAAAACGCAGGGGTTGCAATACTAGTCTCTAATAAAACAGAGTTTAAACCAACAAAGATCAAAAGAGACAATGAAGGCCATTACATAATGGTAAAGGGATCAATTTAACAAGAAGAGCTAACTATCCTAAGTATATATGCACCCAATACAGGAGCACCCAGATTCATAAAGCAAGTCCTTAGAGACCTACAAAGGGGCTTAGACTCCCACACAATAATAATAGGAGACTTTAACACCCCACTGTCAATATTAGATCAACAAGACAGAAGGTTAACAAGGATATCCAGAACTTGAACTCAGCTCTGCACCAAGTGGACCTAATAGACTTGTACAGAACTCTCCACCCCAAATCAACAGAATATACATTCTTCTCAGCACCACACTGCACTTATTCCAAAATTGACCACATGGTTGGAAGCACTCCTCAGCAAATGTAGAAGAACAGAAATCACAACAAACTGTCTCTCAGACCACAGTGCAATCAAACTAGAACTCAGGATTAAGAAACTCACTCAAAACCGCTCAACTACATGGAAACTGAACAACCTGCTCCTGAATGACTACTGGGTACATAACGAAATGAAGGCAGAAATAAAGATGTTCTTTGA